AAAGCATGTCAGGGAAGGATAGCAGGATGTGGAATATTTCTGGTGTCTTATCCAGAAATCAAAAGTATTGTGTTGGAATGGCTTACTTCTGCTCCTAAATCCTATGTTCTTAAAGGAATATTAAAAATATAGATATTTTAAATCACTAAGGGAATTGAAGGTAACATGGAAAAGGCAAGAAAGTGGAGTTGAATGGCAGAGCTGACTCAATGGACATCATACAGTCTTACTAAGAATAGATCTCTATTTATTGCAATGATGATGTGCTATAATGCAGAATGGATTTTCTAAATAGTAAAAGCATGACAAAAAGTGACCGAGGATAGTCACACAGGAACGAGTTAACCAACCATGACCTAACCAGGCCATGCTGATATTGATGTTGCACTTGAGACGCCTTCTATCTTTCCTCGAATAACTTTATCGGCTTATTCCCTGTATTTCCTTCTCCCTCATTAACAGGTTAAGGGCCCCCTTAAATGCGTCTATATCATTCACTTCAGTTGCTCACTGTTGTACCAAGTTCCACAATTGCACCACTCTGTACTGCTCAGTTGGTAACACTCTCTCTCTTCACAAAGTTCTCGATTCAAGTCCTATTCCAACACTTGAACACAAAGAGCAAGGTTGATATTTCAGATGCGATACTAAACCGAGGTCCCATCATAATGTAGAAGATCGCATGGTACTGCTGAGAGGAAGATTAGGGAATTTGTCCTGGCCAATGTTGATGCCTCAATCAGAATAACAGAATGGACAATCAGCAGCAATTTTTCAAGGTCGGGTTTGCAGAGCGGGCAATTCACCTGTCTCTGTGTACCTGCCCATGAGCAAAAATCCGGGCCAATGTGTTTATACATCTACAGTTTGGCATTCGTCATGAATGGGAAGCAGAGGTACAAGCAGCAGTTCTTGAAGTGTCTCACCTTCCACTGGCCTCGTATTTCAACTGGTAGAACTCATATTTGGTGGGATAGATGTGTGTCCACATTAAAGTTAAGCAAGAGTATCAACCTCTGTGGATATTTTATAGGTAATTATGAAATTACTTGAATGTGTAAATATTGAACTTATGCAAGCTTCTTGACACCTAATCTGGCCTCAGTGTAGAACAAGAAGGAAAGGCAATAAATATTGCCTTACTATGCACTGAATCTGATAAACAAAACAGAAAAACATATGCCAAGTAAATTGGGCCTGAATTCTCCAGTCAGTTAAACCAAGCGAAGCATAAAGTATTGCTGACTAGAAAACAATCACAGTAAGGATTGATATTTTTAATTGTGTCTACAGCTGCAGTAATAGATGTTGATTGCAGTATATTCAAACTATTTATGTAACATTGGTAGATGTAAACAACAGTGAATGAGAACCAGAAGCTTCAAAAAACTAATGTTTTTCCCTCATTTATCTGTTTCAGTCCTTTTCTATTTTAACTTAGCATTCAACAGTACCGCTTGTATAAGAAGTGAGTAGTTTATCTTTGTTAAAACTTTTGTTCAGGTATTGGTACAACTGTCAAAGTATATGGAAGCATTTGCTGCTGTCATTAACAAATCTCAAGTAATGTCCACTGTAGGATCCCCTGCATAATAAATTTGGAAATAACCTTCCCGCTCTTTCCAAAATTTATTAACAGAGTTGCTTGGACATAAATTATTCATTATACCCAGACTAACCTCAGTATTTGAAATCATTGAAGTTTGTTTAAAACAAATGTTGTCATTCCTGAACAGCAAAATTCAAATTTATGTAATAGTTTGGGACATATTACACTGGTCCTAATGGTGTGGATTACCAGATTAACTGGAATATCAGTTTAAGACTTATGAAAGAACATATCCTATCTAGGACAAGATTGCCTTCCTCCATTTTTCACAAGACAATCCCTGTTACAAGTAATAAATTTCCTGATGATAGACCAATGTAGTTGTTCTCATTGGTACAAGGTGAATTATAATACTTTTACAAATTGAAATAAATATATAAGTTACTGTAAATTTATATATTCAGGTGGCAATTCATTCTATTAATCGTCTACAGCATTCTATTGAGTATTGCCTTATAAGGCTATCAAGTTGGTTTATGTCGACTGCATTGAAATTACTTTAACCAAATATACATACATTCTTGTGGCACAGTGGTAATGTCCCTACCTCTGGGCAAATAAGACCAGGTTCATGTTCCACCTGCTTTCCACGTGTGTTAGAACAATTGATTAAAATGACAGTACACATTTTCCCTTGACTATTATATTAGTTTGCTCAAATATTTTCAATACATACACACAAAATAAATGTTGTGCTCAACAATAACACTTCAATAACCTGAAAGCAATGTTTATAATTCTATCATTAATAGAGAAATTGTATAAACCTCATGACTGTATTATATGCACATAATAGCTCTCAAAAAGTGGCATAATATCAATAGTTCTGCACCCATGGCTTGGTTTAACTAAACCAGAAACAAATGATATAAAACCACAAATATTGGAAACAGAGGAAATTATTTTAACACAAAAATGCTTGGATTACATTTCTTTGTTTATTTAAGATCGAATTAATGTTGTGGGATAACACTCTGGCCTCTCAATCTGAAGGTTACAAGTTCTAGCATCTTTTTGGGATGTGATGAGGTAAGGGCTAAATTTCCATCAGGGTTCTTTGACTTGAAATGGAAGATCTTGGAAAATGGCATTTATAGAAATTCATCCCTGAAATCTGGATTGCTACTAAAATGTCATTCTGTAAATATCAGCCATATTTCTGTCAGTAGATCCCCTGTCTCTAATGTTCTGGCACAAAATCAAGGTTGACAGTCCAGTGCAGTGCAATATGGGGGAGTGTGACATGGTCTGAGGTGCTCTCTTTCCAAACTGTGGTCCCACTTGTCTGCTTTGGTGGATCCAAAGAGTACCAGGGGACTACTTGGAAGAAGAACAGGAAAGATTTAACCAGAATTCTGCCCATTATTTAGCCTTTATCAACATCACAAAAACAGATGGACTTGCTACTATCACATAGCCATTTGTGGGAATTTTGTGTACGTGAACTGACCGCTGCATTTCCTACTCTATAATGGTGACCTAGGTCATTAGCCACAAATTGCTTAGAGGCAGCTGGTGGTTGTGAAAGGCACTATATGAAGACAAGTCTTTTCCTTTATTGGGGCAGCGCTTCATTTTTGGAATGCTATCTTTTAAGTGCAGCATTTGATTGACATTTTCTACGTTGTGAACTTACAGGACTTCAGGCTCTAATTGAAGAGGTCTAGGCCTTCTGACTTCAAGTGACAGTATAAAACAGGGATTGGCTGATCATCTTCAACTTATATATTTCTCATGATTTTTGGGATAAATATATAACAGGCAACAAAATTGCCCTGACACAAAACTGTTTTACGGCATCCTGCTCGCATTCACCCTCAACCAATACAATGAAAAGAGATGATTTGATCATCAAAACTGATCACTTACCTCATTTGATTTAATGGAGAGTGCAGGAGGGCATGCCAGGAGCAACAACTACAAATGGGGATGTCAACCTGTGAAGCTACAGAACAGGACTATTTGCACACCAAACAGCTAAGCAGCAAGTAATAGACAGAACTGAACAATCCTACAACCAATGGATCAGATCTAAGCTCTGTATTCCTGCCACATCCAGTTATGAGTGGTAGTGGATGATTAAATAATTCACTGGAGGAGGAGGCTCCACAAGTATCCCCATCCTCAATGATGGAAGTGCCCAACACACCAGTGCAAAAGATAGGGCTGAATCATTTGCAGCAATCTTCAGACAGAAGTGCCAAGTGGCCTCCTCCACTGGTCCCCAGCTTTATAGATATCAGTCTTCAGCCAATTCGATTCATTCTACATGATATCAAGAAACGGTTAGGTGCACTGGATGCAAGTGCTTTGGACCCTGGCAACATTCCAGCAATAGTGCTGAAGGTTTTTGGAGTAGATCTATAGCTCGGGTTGTGGGTGTTGAGGTTGGTTGGCTCGCCGAGCTGGTTTGTTGTTCCGCAGACGTTTCGTTACCGTGCTTGGTAACATCCTCAGTGCAGCCTCTGATGAAGCAGAGTAGATCTGTAGCTCGGGTTGTGGGTGTTGAGGTTGGTTGGCTCACCGAGCTGGTTTGTTGTTCCGCAGCCGTTTCGTTACCGTGCTTGGTAACATCCTCAGTGTAGCCTCCAATGAAGCCAATAGTGCTGAAGGCTTGTGCTCCAGAACTTGTCACTCCCCTAAGCAAGCTGTTCCAGTACAGTTACAATACTGGCATCTATCCAACAATGTGGAAAATTACCCAGGTATATCCTGTACATAAAAAGCAGGACAAATTCAACCTCACCAATTACTGCCCCATCAGTCTCCTCTCGATCATCAGTAAAGTGATGGAAGGTGTCATCAACAGCCAACAACTACTACCATCTGGAAGGACAAGGGCAACATGGGAACAGCACCACCTACACATTCCTCTCCAAGTCATTGACCATCCTGATGTGGAACTATATCATCATTACTTCAATGTTGCTGGGTCAAATTCCTGGAATTCCCTCCCTAATGGCATTATGGGTCTACCAAAGCTCATGGTCTGCAATAGTCAAGAGGGCAGCTCACCACCAGCTTTTCAAGGGCAACTAGGGTTGGGCAATAAATGTTGGCCTGCCAGTGGTGCCCACTTCTCACAAGTGGTTAAAAATATTGTAATTTATGAGGCCCTGTGAATAAATTGTTTGTTGTATTTCTCTATAAATCAACAGTTCCTGCATTTCAAATTTAACTGATTGCTCACCCAAAGTACAGATGAGCACATTTTTAAAAAAATTGTTTGCAAACCTATGACACCTTGGTAAATGGCTGTGGCCCACATCATGGTATCAGTTGCAGGTAACATCAGGATGAAAATGTTGCACAGTCCGTGAAAGAAAGTCTTACAATTTTGATAAAGACAGTTACTCTTTAAATTAGGTTTGTACAACTTTAACTGCTATACCTTGGAGTTCTTTCTGGCTTGTGATGATTCATCAGGTTTATGAGTTATATTCGTTAGGCAACAGTGACATTCGATCATGGCTGGCTGAGCTGCTAATTTAGGGACTTTGCCTGTCTGAGATGCACAGGAATCTGATTTGTCTGTCTTTATTGGCAGCAATTCATCTGGTTTGAATCTGTCACTCTTCTTCCATCTTCTGACCTGTCCAAAAAACAGCAACAATTTAATGTCCATTTGCAAGGCCGCCCAATTCAGTCTATCTTTACTTCAGTCTAAAGAGGAAACAACGATAAAATTGCATCAGACTCAGAAAAGACAGGAAGAGAACACACAACTCCCAGTTGCACTATGCAAACTTGTCATTGCAAATCAAAGTTAATTGGTAATTCTGGACACGCTACCTTATATACAACATAAAGTTTTCCTTTCACTGTGAGCACAAGTCAAAATTTTTGGAAAAGATGCAGAATTGTAACCCATGGATAATCGAATGCATACAAGTAGCATTAAGAAGCAATGAACACATGCAAGTCACGTGCATTTGACTACTATAGGAAGGTTGTTATTAAACTGGAAAAGATTTACAAGGATGTTACCAAGACTGGAGGGGTTGAGTTATAGGGACAGGCTGGATAGGCCAGGACTTTTATCCCTGGAGCGTAGGAGTCTAAGGGGGTGACCTCATAGAGGTTTATAAAATCATGAGGAGCATGGATAAGGTGAATAGCCAAGGTCTTTTCCCCACAGGAGGGGAGTCCAAAACTAGGAGGGCATGGGTTTGAGGTGAGGGAAATGATTTAAAAGGGACCTGAGTGGCAATTATTTCTCACAGAGGGTGGTATGTAACAAGCTGCCAGAGGAAGTGGTAGAAGGGGTGTACAATTACAAAATTTAAGAGACATTTGAACAGGTACATGAATAGGAAAAGTTTAGAGGGTTGTAGACAAAATGCAGGCAAATGAGACCAGTTCAGTTTGGGAAACCTGGTCGGCAAGGACGAGTTGGTCCAATGGGTCTGTTTCCACGCTGTAAGACTAAGACTCTATGACCACTTAATCCTCATTGTATATTTTAAATTACACTAATTCACACTCTCTTGTATTGTAAGCACAAGTATATTATCCAAGTTATTATCAGGAACAGTGATTTATCAGCATAGAATTTGGCCTTGAGACCTTGAAAAACATAGAACATAGAACATAGAACATAGAACACTACTGCACAGGAATAGGCCCTTCAGCCCACCATGTCTGCGCTGACCATGCTGCAATTCTAAACTAATCCCATCTGCCTGCACATGGTTCATGTCCCTCTATTCCCTTCCTGATCATATGTCTGACTAAACGCCTCTTAAACTTTGCTATCATATTTGCTTCTACCACCTTCCCTGGCAGTGTGTTTCAGATACCTACTACCTTCTGTGTACAAAACACTTGCCTCACAAATCTCCATTAAGCTTACCTCCTCTCACTTTAAACCTATGCCCCCTGGTATTTGACATTTTCACCCTGGGGAACAGACTCCGACTATCCACCCTATTGCTGCTTCTCATAATGTTATGTAATTCTATCAGATCACTCCCCAGTCTCTGACGGTCGAGCAAAAACAATCCAATTTTGTCCAACCTCTCCTTTTAACAACTATACTCTAATCCAGGCAACATCTCAGTAAATCTCTTCCACACCGTCTCCAAATTCTTCCTATTGTGTGCTAACCAGAACTGTGCACAGTACTCCAAATGTGACCTGACTAAAGTCTTACACAGTTGCAACATTACTTGCCAACTTTCATATACGGTGTGAGAATGTTTCGGGTTAGATGCCACAGACACACATCTGGTATCCAGGAGCATTGTGGAGAAGGGATCTGAGAATCTTGAAGTTGGCAGAACAACCAAGAGTCAGCGGCAAAAAGAGATTATAGGGAGAGCTACAAAAAAGCTCCAAGAGCTGGTATTTCACCAGCGATCTTTTAAAAGGACAGAGAGGACCCAGATGCAAAAATTTCACCCCATTTCAAGTTGATACAATTTTTCCCTGTAGTGAAAAGGCAGTAGGACATGAATCAGTCAAATATGAAGTGCAAATGAGCAGGACCACTGAAAATAAATGTTGAATTAAAACAGACTTCAGTTTTGTTATTTCAAGGAATTTAATCAGTGGTATGAGAGTCACAAATTTATGGAGGAGATGTAAACACACTTGAGGGGCAGTTAAGGTCTGTTTATGTGTCATGGTCTAAAGTTATTTAAATTTCCAGTGCTTTATAATTGAAAATGTAGACTGTAGCAGTTAATTAGAGTAAATTCACTGCTGAAGTGCATTGTTGACAGAGTAGACAGGACAGAAAAATATTGACAGCGTCTGTTCCCACAGCCTCAATGGATTTCATTATTGATATTTTCAAAGAGTTGTTATTACAGCTGAGCCAATTATGATTGTGCTGCTGAGTTTCAAAAGGTTTGAAACTGCCATGCTCAGGAGGGGAGTGGAATTCAAATTTTGATTGACATCTTTAAGGGGCTAACAGGTGATTAGCTGTCTTTCTCATCATTCCTGAATGAAGGCTTGTTTACTTTTAAAGTAGATTGATAAGCTGAGGTAATTTAATTTATTTCTATGTTAAGTATTTATATGTGAGATTCCACCCAATTATCAGAATTTTCTTTTATGTCTCCACATGGTCCCAGAGGTCTACCCTTAATGCACGTTGGGTGAGTGGTTATGGAGTTAACGTGTATATGAGTTGTTTCAGAGGTGACATCTGTATATGAGGTGGTATAGAGGTAATATGTATATACGAGACTGCACGAGTGTGATGGGGTTGTAAAGTGGCACAGAGCAGTGGGTTTGTGAGAGTTAGAGCAAGAGGAATAAACTTATAAAACTGCACTGAAGTCTCAGAGAGCCAAGGCAGGCCGATTTGGCACTTTCCTGTTTCCAGAATCATCTCCAAACCTCCATCAGAGATGGCAGGGACATTTTGAAAATTACCTATTCTCCCAAGAGTGAAAATTGTGTCTGATGGGACCCTTGATAAACAGCAGACCTGTGGACTTGTGAAATTTTCCAACTCAAGATACCTGACCTGCAGCAAAAATCCCACTCCAAGGGTCTGCAAGCAACCTGGCTGGGAGCACCAGAGAATTTCTGGGGATGGAAACTCCAGGAATTAGCAGGTTCAAGATGGATTTCTGTTGATCGGAATCCTGGGATTTTTAAACTGTTATTATGAGCCAAGGCATGAGTGAGTATTTGCTATGATTAACATGAGCAGCAGCCAGTCAACAGGAAAAAAGATATTAATCTTCCAGTGAGAATGAAATCATGTGAGTGGGTGAGCTGGGGTAACTAATGTGTTTACTCAGGAAAGTAAATAAAATTGAATTTCGTTTTCTTTCGGAAAAACAAAGATATACAGATGTTATTGATCAGACATAGTTATCAACTGCCTTTGAGGTAACATTTGTCATGCTAATGACTGGTTTAATAATCAATTTCTCATCAGGGATTAACTTCAGGGGATAGTTTATTTAAAACAGTAAAATGTATTATAAGTTATGAAGCAGACATTAAAGCAGCCCAACTCCTTTTTCTGTAAGTAGTGTGCAAGCCCACAGCAGATTAACTGGCAGGCAGAGTCACTACAGCACCATTGTTGCCATTTATTTTAGAGATGGCTGTCTCATGAGTGATTTGCAGCTCCTTCTTGTGTGCAGTATGCATCTTCACCTGCTTTTGCAGATGTGTCATTTTCTCTAGCACTGCTTTGAGTTAAAATTATTTTTCTGTACTGTTCCTGCCGAGCCTAATTTGTTTTATATGCATGTTGCTCCAGATCTTCCAGTAACCTGGCAATCAAAGCATTGGATTGATAATACAGAGCTTGTAGTTCATCCCTTCTTTCTTTTTCAGCTCTTTGTTCATCTTTATGAGCAGAATAGGTATCCCCTAAAGACTTCATGATGTCAAAGGTGGTATTCTCACATTTGGATTTCTCCTCAGCTAGTTATCAGCTTTTTCCTCTTAAACGTTCATTTATTTTCTTCACAGCAGGGAGCTGAGATTTTAGTTCAGAAGAAAGTGAAATACTTCACTCTTCTTTCTTATCCAGTTCCACAATTGATTCTTGACCAATCTGCTGCAATCTCTCTTATGTCTCCAATGTATGCCTAATGTGACTAGCATTAGGTCATGGCATGCTGGTAGACCTGCAATTACTGGTCCAGCAGTATCTACAATGTACAACATCTGCAACATGCAGGTAAAATGTACTTGCACCCCAGAACTACTAGTTCTGCACATGGAATTGGTATTGTTTGCGGAAAAGCTTACTTTTGTATGTTTCACCTTGGTCCCATGTCTGACAATGCACTTACCTTTGCCAATAACCTTTTCTGCCCTATACCTTAAACTTGTTGAAAGTTTGGCATTATCTTGGTGCATGCAGAAGGCCACAAATTTCACATGTCATGCTATGTTTTGGTGTTCTATCAATTGTCTCAACTATCAGGTTTGTACCCAGGACCTGTAGTCATCATTCACTTGTAAGGATTGCTTTGTGCTTACATCCATCCTTCTGTAGCTCTTCGATGCCATAAGTCTTCAGTATGTTCAACAAATTCATCCGGAAAGTTTAAGGGTGTATGTAATCCCCAACTCAATAATTCTGTTTGCCAGCTCCCCATTTAAGAAAAAGAGTCCTTTTCTCTGTATCTGCTCACAGTGGTCTATTTCTCTTCCATTTCTATCGTGTAGGGCTCTGTCAAAATGAAATGAATTCTAGTCAACGTATATGAAAGCTTAATCTAATTCTGAACTAGTCCGAATTTTGTGATCTTTCAGTTCCTTGGCTTTTAATCCTGACAATGCTAAGCATTCCCAATTACTAAACAAATCATGATCATTTTCTATTTTGCATTGGATACACCCAAATCTCAAGACCATGGCTCTAAATACTGTTCAAATAACTTAAACTTTTTTAGGAGGTTCTCAGTATCCGAATTTAAACTGGAAAATTTTACTAACATTCAAATAGCACGTCTCTGAGCTTCCCATGCTTGCTATCGATCCAGCACACATCCTGATCAGAGATAGTAGGAACTGCCGATGCTGGAGAATCTGAGATAACACGGTGTAGAGCTGGATGAACACAGCAGGCCAAGCAGCATCAGAGGAGCAGGAAAGCTGACGTTTCGGGTC